TGAGAAGGGAAGGAGCCCTGTAGCATTGGGGGGTGGGCATTCCAAGCACAGAGTTATCAAGCAGGGTTTCTGGGAAGGAACAGCATCCAGAACAGATCAAGAAAAACCCCAGCATAGGTGGCGTGCCATGGGGGAGGGTCATGGTGAGAGTGAGGACACAGAGCCCCCAGGGGCCACACCCTGCAGGACTTTGAGACACTGGGTGAGAACCTGAGGTTGTTCTAACCAGGTGCATTGCACAGGAGGATTTTGAGGAAGGCGTGGCTTTCTCTGTAGGCATTCTGGGGCCTCTGTGAACAGGGAAGGAAGGAACGGAGGGAAGAATGCTGGGCTTAGATGAGGAGGGTATTACGGGGGGTCCATGGGGTCTCTGTCTCCCACTCAGGTTCCTGACATTCCAATCTGTTTCTATTTGTGGGAGACTGAGCATTCCCTCAGTCTCCCCAGAAGACCGCGATGTGCTCCAGGCCTGCACCTGTGGAGCAGTGTTCTGAGGGATGAGGGCAGAGGGCGAAGTCTCAGTACAGAGGGGGTCTGACAGTTCCCCTGATGAAGCCAGTGGTTATGGTCCCTCATGGTAGTTGCAGCTGGATGGCTGAGGGGTTTGGGGTAATTTTGTATTTTCTGTGCTACACTATATAATTCATAGTAGAGGAATATTATTTCTCTTTTAATTCACAACTTATTCCACTTTAACTATGGTACCTAGTGTGTAGCAGTTCCTCAACTTGTGGTCTATTTGTGTGTGTGTGTGTGTGTGTGTGAGAGAGAGAGAGAGAGAGAGAGCAGGGGGAGGGAAGGTGGGGGAGAGAGGCTGTACACTTTATTAGTGGAAACTTCTCTTTCTCTGTATTCTACTTTCTCACTTATTTTTAACTCCATAAATTCCTCTCCGTCTTTTCTGCTCACCTTGTGTTTGTGTGGGTGGCTAGGATAATGTGTGGGTGCTCAGGCCCTGGGAGGTCGATGTAAGTCCAGATGCTCTTTGCTGATTCATATCATCCCTAGAGTCCATCTGCTGTAGGTGTTTATCGTGTTTTCAAACTAGTCAACAATCCAGAATTCAGTTCTTGTCTCTAATGAGATTAAAAACAAAAAAAAGTGACTTTTATACATTTGTGAAGATAATAACTAATACTGGACAAATTAGATGATTTCCCTCACTGGACGTTGGCTGCATTTTATTCGTGTTTAAAATTTGTGATTCTCTAACTGTGGGTCAAAGTTGAGGCTAGTGTAAACCTGCAGAGGAAGGAATTTTTCAGGTCCGCACTTGGAATCTGCAGTTCTTCTGTTCAGAGGCAACGGCATTACAAAGGAACAGAAGTTCCTGAGGATTTTCCCAGGCAGAGACGCCATCTGGGAGGCACACTGACAGTGTCTCAGTGTCTCAGGGGTCTGGCCAGTGTCCTTGTGCTTCCAGTTGGCTAAAGAGTTTCACATGAAGGAAAAATGATGTGGGATTTTCTGTAGAAAATTTCTGTGAAAGGCCTCTGTTCAGTCCCTGTGGGGATTCTGAGGTGTGACATCTCTTTGTGGGTCTCTTAAAATCTGTGTAAAGTCTGTATGAGGTCTCTGTGAGGACACTCCATGAGGTCAATGTGTTTGTGTGAGATGTCTATGTACTATCTCTGGGTGGTCTCTGTGATAAGTTCCGGTGGAGGACATCTTTGTGGATGTTTCCCCAAGGTCTGGAACTCTGTGGAAGGTGTCTGTGAGAGATCACTGCATGAGGACCATGTGGCAGTGAAAGGTTGTTGTGTGAATTCTCTGTGTTAGGTCTTTGAGGTCTCTTGGTACAGATATCTGTCAGAGGTCCCTCTGGGGAGGTCTGTGTCAGGGGTTCTGTGAGATCTCTGTGTGAGGGCCCTGAACATGGTGCTATATCTGAGGGAGGTCCTTTGTTTCTGTGTCTGCTGTGTTGGAGGTTCTATGGTGGTCTCTGTGCCATCTTTAAGTTGAGTCTGTGAAGGGCTATGTGCCAGGGGGTCTTACTTGTGTCTGACTGAGGATTCTGTGACATGTCTGTGTGGGGGTCTCTGGGATGTCTCCTGGTTGTTGGAATTACTGCCCCTCATGGATGACAAAGCTGACAGAAGCAGAGGGCAATAGGACTTCTTCCCTCATGCCTCTGGCTGTCCATCAGTGTCGCTGTCTGTGGCATTATCCCCTCAGGATCCCTGAGGTCCACGTCCAGCTCCGCTGCCCAGAGAACCTACCTCTCTGGACTCTGAGAGGGCCCAGCAGGGCCAGATTCAAGGTCCTGACTCTGTTCTAGCTCATTCTGTGCCTGGGTCTGTTCTTGATGGTAGGCCCACCCTGGGGTCTGCTATGATCAAAAAAGGCACAGGACCTGGCTCAGAGTTGGCCTATAGTGTTGGGGACCACAAATCAAGTTAAGATGGTGCCTGGCAGTTTGCCAGGAGGAGTGGTTTGTGAGGCCACGCCACCGAGTCATTAAGATGATGGGGATTTCTTATTGGCTGACTGCTGTATCTAGATGATGTTAATTGAGACAAGCTGTGTGTAATCAGTAAGGTATATATACCCCCGCTGTTCCGCAATAAGGCGGCTCCTGCTACCTTGGGTGCCCGCTACCTTGAGTTCCCACTCAGTTCCCGCTAAGTTTCTCAGCAATAAAGCAGTTCCCGCTTCAACCTTCAAGTTGCTTGTCACCTCCCGGTTATTTTGCCCAGCCGGACTGCGGCACTATAGGGCCTGTTTTTGCACTTGGGAGGGACTGCCTGGCTTTACATATGGAATATCTTTAGACATTAGAGGAGGTTCATGCCTGTGTCATCTGCCTTGGTGGCACTTTGTGGTATAGGCCTCTCCATCAGGGAACAAAAATGCCAGAGGGCGTTGGAGTGGTGCTGCTGCCTTCCCCAGGTGGGCCACAGCATCCAACACTCTGCAGACATGCCTTTTCCTCACCCCCTGTGGGATCTACCTGCTTTCCCATGTAGACAGGCCCTGGGAAGAAGCTTTTATTGGAAGCAGAGTGCGGTCAGAGAAGTCTGCTGGGTGCTACCCCCAGACCCAGCTTACCCCTACCTTTTAGACAGTCACTGCCCTAATACGACAAGTTTTGACCAAACCACCTCTTCTTCTTTAGTCTGGACAACAAGTCCTGGAAGCCTAGAGAATCTTGCGTCGTGACCCCAAGCTACCCCTTTGGCCTTTTAGGTCCCCACCTTTCCACTGCAGAAGTGCTAGGGCCATGTGTTTGTCTAAAGGTCCCTAAACTGGGAGTCACAGCTAGAGTTCCCTACTCTTGACTACTCCAGTTGATAACTCATCCCTTCTATAATTAAAGAGACAAAGACATGAGGCCCTATTCAGTATGATGCCAGGAAATGAATTTTCTCTACCAAAAGGTTTGCTTCCTCTCTTGCCTGTGTCATTGTTCAAGAGGCTTCTCCAGGTTTGTGGTCTGTGTGGGGCCAGGATGAGTCCATAATGTCTCCTCCCTGAGGTCGGCACCATCCACCATGCCTGTGCCATCCATCACATCTGTGGGAGGCCATCCTCGCACGTGATTTGAGTCACCTCCCTGGTTGGATGAGAGACGCTTGGGCACTCTTTTGTCCAGAGCTTTCCCCACCCTTCTCAGGGCTTGTCCGTGTGGAGGCGTGTCTGGCCACTACCCCAAAGACCCAGTCATCTCCCCTGACCTTGGGACACTGCCCCCCTTAATCTTCATTGGATGGGATTTTCCCCAGAATTTTTTGTTCCCCAATAAAAGTCCACTCCCAGGCATGTTGTCTCTCTCTCTCTCTCTCTCTCTCTCTCTCTCTCTCTCTCTCTCTCGCTAGCCTATTCAGTAAACCTTGCTACCATAATAGGTGGCTGGAGGCTGGAGCTAGGAGGAGCCATGCTGGAGCCTGTTTAAAGGTAATTAGAGTCTGTCTCTTTAATTCAAAACTCCCTAGAGGTTTCTGACGTTTCGAACCTTCATTCATGAAGCCAGTGCTGGTTGCGGGCTAAACACATCATCTGTGGTATCCCCATGTTACTCTGCCTCTTTATTTGGCTCCATTTTAATTCACATCCCATTTTCTGTCCTCTGTGCCCCACTGTCAGATGGTTAGTGCATGCATATTTGTGTCGCGTATAAGGCAGATTGAGAGGTGGCGAGCTGCAAGTGAAACAGCCCTGAGCAGCCAACTTACAGTTCCCACCCAGACACACACCAATCTACAATTTTTATTCTGGACACTGCTCTAGAAAGTGAGGAAGACAGGGCAAAAGCAGGTGACATGGCTACAGCATGAACCTTAAGCTAAAAGGAGCTGGCAAGGCCCATCTCCATGTTAGGCTCCATAAGGCAGGGATTCTCAGGACAGGTGTCCTCTGATCCCGCCAAGGTATCCACTAGGCAGGACTCTCCAGCCACCTCTGAACTCAGGGCCTGGATACTACCCCCTCCCCAACTTTATTGAACATGGGAACCTACTAGGTTCCATGGTAAACCTGTACCCCAATCTCTACAGCCACACAAATTTCAGAATAGAGAAAAGGCTCTGTTAGACTTTAGGGTGGGGTCATTGTGGGGTTGCCCCATCTTGACGAGTCCCAAAGGCATTCTGTTTTTTCTGTAATGATCAAGTCATGAATTCCTAGGGTATATGAGGGGATCTGACATAAGGGTGGGTACTCAATGCCACTGTCACCTTCCTGCATGTCCAGTCTCTTCTAGAATCCAGTCTAATAAAGAGCACACATGACCTCCCCTTCCCTGTGACCAAGCAAAACACAGACAAAAGGCTCTCTGGTTTAAGAAAACAGTGTTATTAAGCCATCATCACCTCATTAGAAATAAGCCATTATCAAACAAAGGCTGGGCTCACATGAGGACAGTTTCTCTCAGTGTGGTGTGAATTGTGGGAAAAACTTCTTCCCAGCAGGACAGGAGTGGGAAGCATGTTGATGCTGATGAGACAGCAAATGTCTCTGAAGAGCACAGTGCCTTGGACAGTGGACACTGTGGCCCGAGATACCTGCCACCCTGGACCTCTGCTGGCAGGGGCTGGGCAGAGGTGCAGACTTCTTAAGCAGCAAGGCCGGATTGTTGTCCGGGTTTCTGATGCACCTGTTCAGAGGATGGCTGACCCTGAGGCTGGCCTGGTGACCATGAGCCATAGCTCCCATCCCTCTTCTTTGTTCCAGGGAGGAGGAACAGCTAGAATAATGGGATTGTCTACCCATAGAGGCCTGCTGTTCCTCTTTAAGTGTGTTTTTCTTTGAGGCCGAATGTTCATCATGAAACATCATTTTCTGATCTGTGATCCATCCAAAAGTAGTCATGAGTGCCTGGGCTTCTGACACTGCATTGTCTATAAGCACTTGGCTTGTGACTGACCCTTGGCTTTGGGTAGTAGTTGATGGGATCATGATTTGGGGTAGAGAGTTTGCCTGCTCTTTGGCTTTACTGGGGAAGATATTTTGCAGAAAGTTCTTTATTCTGTCTCCAAAGTTTCCCTTTGAAGGAGCCTGGGAAGACTTGTCCCCCACAGTGTCCCCTACCTCCATAACTGGGACAGAGGGGCCCATTTCCCCAGCACAGGAGGGCCTCCCTTCTGAAAGCCTTTCTCCCTGTGTTCCTGACCTGGGCCTCACGCTGTCCGCCCTCTTGGCAGTTGGCCTAAACGTATTTCTCCTGCTCTTCCCTGGATCCTGGTGCTCAGGGATCTTGGGTCCCTGCAGGTCCTGGATGCTGTCTTCACTGAGTCCACACTGAGAAGTTGATGCACTCCTACTGGACATGTTTAGAGTGCTGGACTGTCTCTCCTGGGAAGCTAGGATGTCTTCAGCCAGGAGCACCTCAGGGGCACAGTCCTGATGAAACTTGTCAGTGGCACAGTCTTGCAGGTTGACACCTGTAGCCAGTTCTTGAGGCTGGTTCTTTGGCTCAGTCTGTGCTTTCAGGCATGAGTATTCTTGGCCCTGGGAAATAGAACTTATAGAAGAGGGGGGTCCTTCACTGGTCCCCTGAGATTCTAAACTCCCTAGGGAATTAATATGAACATTAGGGAAGTTTGAAGTCTTCCTGGTTTCCTTGGTGATTCCCCATTTAGAAGACTCCTCCTCATCATCCTCCAGCTCTCTGACTTCTTCAGTCTTTATAACTTCGGACCCTACCTGAAGTGATGGCAGGCTGTGGCATGAGACTTGTGAGCTCATACTTCCACTCCCCAGAGACAAATGTCTGCCCATTTCTAGGCTTGGACTTGGTTCCAGACTGTCTCTTGCAGATCCCAGGACAGTACCATTGTTCCAGGTTCTGCCCATGAGAATGTAAGTGTGGGGCTGAGAGGGCAGGCTGCTTTCATGTGCAGTTGAAGGAGCATCTGGGAGCCCACCGTTGTCACCAGATGGAATTCTGCTCAGGGACTCAAAAGAGGGGCCAGAGAGAGGACTCCTCTGGGTGGGAACTGGAGATTGTGCTACCTCCTTCAGTCCTGGACCTTTCTGAGTGGGTTTTCTCAGGACCTTGGCATCATGGGCAATGGGGTTAGCCCTGGAGTCATAGGAGGCTGAAGAGGGAAGGGCAGGCTGTGGAGGTGGTGAAGCCTCAGAGTTCCTCATCTTCAAGATATTAATATGCTTGAGGACCCTGAGGGGTAGGCCCCACCTGTGCCTCACTCTTAGACTTGTAACATGTGCCTCCAGTTCCTGCCGAATGCTAGCATCAAGGAGGGAGAGCACCTGGGAGGTGTTCCTGAAGGCTTCCCCACCTTTTAAGGTTGGTCCACCCCAAGTTTCCTTCTGGGTGTTTGAACTTCCAGGTAGGACAGAGACATGGTATGTGCCAAGCCTGGAATTACAAACACCCATGGGAATCGTGCCCTCCTGTATTATCTCTGGCCTCTCAGAACCAGCCCTCTGTACAGCAGGGCTCCTGTTGTCTGGAATCACTGAGTTCCATGAAGACTCACAACTGTCCTTTGCCTGATCTATCCTTGGGATGTTATCCCAGGACTCCGTCAGATTCAGAAATGGGTCCATATTGGGTGGTAGTCCATACTGATGTAGCATGAACCTCTTCTGAAGGTGTTGCTCCAGTTTCTCCTGAGGATCAAGGCTGAGGAAGTCCCCTGGGGGCTTGTTGTGGTCACAGGAGGCCCTGTTCTCTGAAGTGAGATGGCTAAAGACCTTCTGAGACTTCTGGACCAAATAAGGTAAAGCCTGTCTACTTTCTATGTGTTTTCTTATAATGTGGTATTCCAGGTATTGTAGAGCAGAAGCGGAAAGCAGCTGGGTCCCCTTGTGGCTTTTGGGGCATGGAAATCCACAGGCAGTATTCAGAGGAAGATGGCATGGCAGGCTTGGGAGAGATGATGGGAGATGGTCCTGATGGTGGATCTGAGCCAGCAGTGGGGACTGGGACCAGGACAAGGTTGGAGTCCCAGGCTGGAGTTGGACAAGTGGGTGGAGCAACTGGGAGGCAAAGAGTGGCCCAGGTGCAGCCTGTACCTGCCCTGGAATGTAATTAGGCACTTCATTGAATGCAATGGAGGAAAAGTCTGCTGAGGGCTCAGACATGCTGACAGTAGCCACCAGGGACTCGCTGTGCAGAATGGGGAAGCCCCAAAAGAACTGGCTCCATTTCTGCTGTAAATGGTCGCTCAGAATCTCAGTGTAAAAGAACTGCTGAGGAACAGAAAGCTTCTCTGGCTTGCCTTTTGTGTTCCAGAAGGGTTGTGGGATGGTGGTGTCCTGTTCCCTGCCCAGTGACTTTATGGTCATTCCTAGATTATTCAGGGAGTTTTCTAATTCACCCTTTGTCTTCAGATTACAAATTTTCATTTCTGCTCTCTTGCTGATCAGTATCTCCAGCAGTTTCTGGACACCAGGGTTAATGAAAGATTTCCCCTCAGCTTCTACCTGCGAGAGTGGGCCGTTTGCCCAGAGTGAGTCCTCTGGTGGGTGGGGAGCATGATCTCTCTTGGATTCACTGTGAGGGGAGTGGGAGAAGCCACAGACTCTGGCAGCCATCTGCCACCAGGAGAGGGATGAGATGGGACAGGTGGAGAGAACATGGCCTGAGACTGCTGGGACAGGAGGTGGCTGTGGGACAGGTGATGGCAATGGCACATGAGATGGCAGTCGTACAAGAGAAGGCGATTGGCCAGGAGTTAGCAATGGACCAGGAGATGGCATTGGCAGAGATGGAGGGTGGGCCATGGGATCAGGAGGACGAGATGGGGGAGAGGAAAGTCCACGTGGCTGAGGTGAACGTCGTTCTAGAGGAATCACAGACTCTGGAGACTGAGAGGCACTCAGGGATGAGTGAGTCTCAACAGTATCTGAGGAAGTCATTAGGTCTGCTGAGGGAGCAGAGGCCAGGAGCAGAGGACGCTTGCTCAAAGGAGTCAGGGAAGCCAAAGGGAGGAAGGCAGTGGCCAAGGCGTCCTCCTCAGGCAGTGTACATGACTGGTGGGCTCCAGCTGACCCTGGTTTGCACATCTCATCTGGGTCATCTCCTTTTAAAAGGTGGTGAAAGCTGTTGTCATCATGGCACTTCCCTAGGTGGCTACAAGAGATAGGAGGCCCAGGCTGCAGCCAGGAGCAGATGAGGCCAGGAGGTAGGGCAAGTGGCCAGGGGTGGGCACCTGTAGCCCAGGGCTCCTTACTACCCCACACCCTGAGTGTCCAAAGCCTTGCTCTCCCATACCCCAGAGCTTTAGGCAGATCTGCCCCACGGAGGCTGCCCCTCCCCCATGAGAGCTTTGTGTGGTTGGATCTTATCACAGGCAGCAGGAGGAAGGGCACAGGGACTAGTGGGAAGGCCTCACCTTTGTAGACGTGAAAGCAGGTCTTCAGTCTCTTCCACTTTCTTCCAGCAGTCACTATAACCTGAAAATGGAGGCTGGGTCATTGTGGAGAAGGGAATGTCCATGTGGGGCAGACTGGGAGAGTAGACTCTGGAGGGCCAGCGCCAGTGTTCAAGGCCACAAGACAGGTGACAGGGATAGCAAGGCACATGCAGGGGCAGCACTTTGTCATTTCTTTCCACCTCCACCAACCCCCACTATACTCCCTATGGGGAGAAAGAGTCAGTCTTAAGGGCATGAGACCTTGTTCACACTTTGACCAGGAAGTCCCAGTACCATATCCAGATGAAGTGTGTGTGTTGGGGGTGGACAAGTGGCAGTCATTGTAGATAATATATCTGTCCCATTGGGAAGATGTCCCAAAAGGAAAGGAAATCAAATGATCTTTCCTTCTCCTCCTCCCATGTCCCCTCTACAACTTGTTGCTAAGGTAACTGCCCTGGAATTGCTCCTCCCTGCAGGGAGCTCTAGGAGTTGTTGATTGATGCCTCCTGGGCTGCTGCCTTCCTGCCTGGATCACTCCACCATGGGGCCCACCTCTGGGTCATGTATGCAGAATGGGAGAGGAGAGGCAAGATAAGGGGAGAAGGAGGACATGAGGGCAGAGGAATTCTAAAATATAAAAGGGTCTGGGCACCCCCACTTATTTATATATGCAGGTCTGGGACCCCTCTTCTGCAGAGGAATATAAATAAAACTCGCTTTCTATGCTTGCCTTGTGTTTCTCGGGTGTTCAGTCTTCACCCCTAGGAAAACAACTCAGCCTTTATGGATCCTCCTCACTGGCAGGATCTCAGACAGCAAGGCTCCAGTCGTGCCCACACCACCCCGGCCCACCACAGCTTCATTCTGGGCACAGAACCTGAGAAGTGTCATTGGTATGATTTCTTTCTCAGGACCCTTCCTCTCAGGTTTCTGCAAGTTATATCATCTTGGACATGGCTCTGGCCTCTTGGGGATAGTAGATAGAAAGTCACCTCTGGGGTGGAAGGGCAGGGCCTTACCTTTCAGAATGCCCCTCTTCTTCCTCTTCATGCTCTGTTCCTCTTTTACCTTCAGATGCTGACCAACAGGAAAAAAAAAAAAGAGGCTGGTGTCCAGTTCTCCCTCTGCTGTACTAGACCAGCTACAGACATTCCATGTTTCTGAACAACATCACTTTCTACAGCTAGTGGAGACCCTTTTATTCAGAGAACATTTTTAAAGTAGCAGAACTTCATTTGTTTCCTTTGGAAAACAAAAGGGGATTTTCTATATGAACTACCCCATGCATGTCCTTAGTCACTGATCCTTGGCTCAGGAACAGACTCATTTCCACAGGCTCTTCTCAGCTGTTTAGCAGGGTTGTGCTCCCTGAGGCCAGAGGGGACTCCAGCAGGTGATGGAGGCCCTCAGGGCTCAGCACAGCCCTCACACCTCAGCCCAATACAGAGGAAAGGCCTGCTCCAGAGATACACACCAGAAGAAGATGACTGAATGAGCAGTGCTCAAGGCCTGTCCTCCTCCAGAGGTTCCCAGCTCTCTCAGGATCCAGACCTCAGCCACTGAGTCACTGTGTGTGCTTCACTCTGGGACCTGCAGCTCCCCCCATGGATGGTCTGAGAGCTTCAGATTGGAGAAGCCCTAGTGCACCCTCTCCCTGCCCTGCCCTTCCTGTCTCAGAGTGGTGCTCTGTTCTGTCCTAATGTTTTTGTTTTTTTTTTTTTAACTGTCTCTATTTCTTTTGGAAAAATGGAAAGAAGAGGAGACAAAAGAGAATCTGTTTTTTGTTGGGTATGGCCTGAGGGTTTCTTACCTTCCTGAGTTTTCCCTTTTTCCTTGGTGATGGGAAGGATGGATTACCCTGGAGGCAGGGCAATAAGAGGAGAAAGAGCCCCAGTCCACACACAAAGGCAAGGATCATATCCATTGTCCAGGTGGTGAAGCTGGGGTTCAGCCATGTGTCACTAACGCTGTTCAGAGGAAAGAGAAATTTCTCCATCTTCTGAATCGCACTGTTCTGTTTGGACAAATGAGTCCTGAGAGTTCACTTCAGCAATGAGGAGTCCTACCCTGACCTTTGTCATACAGGGCTGTGCCCTCTCATCACAAAGGGATCCTGACAGCAGGGGAGGGGCAAGAAGACCACACCCCTGCCCACCCTCCAGCTCAGCATGTTCCCTACTCTTCTAGGCTGTCTAGATCCTTCCTTCTAGTTCCACCTGCTCACCCTACCACAGGAGACCTTAGTCCATGTCCTGTTGTTTCTGCCTACCATGTAGACATGACCTGCTTTTTTGTCTATCTGTTTAGCTCCATTGATATGACACTTTTGGAAAACTGGATCATTCCTGTAATTGTTATTTCACAGGGATTGTTACTCTCAGGTTCCCCCTCTCTGCAGTTCCAGCTTCCCACATTGTAGTTCCTTGCCTTGCATCAACTCAGACACAGAACTGAGATGTCTTCTGTATGTATTTTTGTGAATTTTGAATAAAATTTCTTCATCATTTTTTCTAGTTAATTTTATTATCTTCAGTTAGAGGGTCTTGAACAACAACAAATAACTAAATTAAAATATACCATTATTAAGAATTCAGAAGAACAGTATAGAAAGTTTTTTAAAAATTCAAAGAATTTTTTGGGTATTTCTAGTATGTTTGATTCCAAAATCAATGAATGTTCAATGGCAGAAGATATTTTTGAGAATTCCTATACAAACACAGACTTGGACACACAGAGGCACACACACACACACACACACACAGATGCAACCCCAAGTATTCATGTGTGATATGCATACCAAATATGCATCCTGTGATGTGCATAGCAATGGATTTTTTTTTTTACAAAGAGGAAACATTGAATCCAGAGGTCTGTGTTTTATAACAAATTTGCTAAGTTTCCAGCCCTTATTTTACAAGGAGTGTTTCTTCCCCCTTCTCCCTCCTTTCTCTCTTGAGTCTCTCCTTCCACATGTGTCAGTAGCCGTGGTGATGGGGACGTCCAGGTCAGGCAGCCCCACTTGCTGGAAGGATCTCTGCTCCATGCTGCTGTGTCCCCTCTGCTCCTTTACTGTACACAGGTTGGCTGTACTGATGTGGGTCTGTTTCTGGGTCATATTTGCTAAGACTTCATTGTTATGTTTTCTTATCTTCTTTTAGGACTTAGTCTGTAGATTTCTTCTAATCTTTGTCTGATTTTGTTATTACATTAGAGCTGGTTTGATACAGTGAGTTAGAAGGTAGCTCCTTTGCTTTAATCTTCTGGAAGAGATCTTAGAGAATTGATATAATTTCTATCTTAAATGTTTGTTAGGATTCACCAGGAACCTATCTTGAACTGGTGGCTTGGCCTTATTGGTTCTGTATCTTTGATAAGTTACAGTTCTGTTCAGATTGATCATTTGTTTTTGTGTTAAATCTAGCATATTTGTCTTGCAAGAAATCAGTACATTTCCTGTAGTTTCTTGAGTTTAAGAACATGGAGTTGTTTGTGGTATTCCTTTACTGTCTTTCTAATGTCCATGGGATCTGTATGGATACCACCCTTGTAACTTCCAATCTTCCTCATTTTTATCTTCTATTTTCTTTGATATATTGTCTAAAGGCTCATTGATTATCATGATTTTAATTGACAAATAATCACACACACACACACACATATATAGGACCTAAGGGCCTAATATAATGTTAGGATACACTATGTCAGGTCAACTACTATATCCTACCCATTGCTTCCCAGACTTATTTCTTTATGTGAGAAAATTTAAACTACATTTTAGCAACTTTGAAATATTAACTATAGTCCCTATGTTAATCAGCTTTTTGTCCCTGTGAATGAAATACTTGGCAAGAATAACTTAGAGCAAGAAAAGTTTACTTTGGGTTCTGCCATCTCCATCCCTGGGTGCAGGGTGAGGTAGAACATCATGGTGGAAGGGCATGGCAGAGGAAACTGCTCAGCCCATGGCAGACAAGAAGCAGAGAGAACCAGGTGTGGTGGTGTGTGCCTGTAATCCCAGAGGCTCCAGAGGCTGAGTCAGGAGGGCAGGAGGATTGCAAGTTCAAAGCCAGCCTCAGCAACTTAGCAGGGACCTAAGCAACTTAGTGAGACCCTGTGTCAAAATAAACATAAAAGGGCTGAGGATGTAGCTCAGTGGTTAGGTGCCCCAGATTTAATCTCTGGTCTAAATGAATAAATACATAAATAGGCACAGAAAGATAGGGGGGCGCAAAGAGAGAAGCCTGGGGCCCTACATACTGTTTCTTAATGTTACATTGTGCACTCAAAAGGCACCTTCTGTGACCTAGTTTCTCCAGCCACACCCATCTATCTGCAGTTAGCACTCAGTGGTCCATTCAGATTAATTCATCTAAAGGAGTAGTCCACCCATAAGTTTGCAGAACTCATAATCCAATCTTTTCACCTCTGAATATTTGTGCATTACCTAATACCTGTGCTTTTGGGGGGGACATTCCTAGATCTAAACCAGGATAATCACCATTCTTTACTGGACTTTAGAAAATGACTTCCTCACCCTTTGATTTTCTGCTGTTTGAGTATAAAATGTGAATGTTTTTTTGTTTGTTTAGTTTTGCTTTATATTTCCCCTGCTTGGTGAGGGAAGGTATTCCTGGCCGTATGATTATATCTCAGTCTTTTAGTGAGTGTGGGCTCTTGAAAGGAGCTGGATCAGTTTCCTCATTTTCCCCACTCTGATGGGACAAGATGTCTGGAGGCAGCTGTGGTTGGATGTTTTCCTCTCTCATATGGAAGAGCAGTGGGCGCTGGTGTTGAGTGTGTCTCTTCTTCCAGGTGTGGGGCTAGAGCAGGCTTGAGTATGGTAGTTCCCTTATCTTGGGTCATTTAGGGTCTGACGAAATTTCAGTAGGCTATTCTTTTGTAAAATAGTTTAGATGTCACCTGTAAAGCAGATGGGATGCACTTAGCTTTCTGGCAAGAACAACAATGGAAAATGTACTTCTAGGATTTTGTCATGGTGGGAAGGGAGTTGAAACTAGTAGATGCAGCCTTTACAACAGCAGTTGTTAGGAGTGTAAGATGACCTACCACAAGTGGAGCCACTGTCTAAAAATTTACTGGACATAATGTGAACTGGCCTACCTATAAAGGTGGGTGGATGGCCTATGTCACCAGCATCACTCTTGTATAGCACAGACCCCTAAATAAAGGGCATGTGTGTTACAGCAATGCAGAGTTCTCACCAACAGCTTGTTGAATAGGTGCCTTTACCTATTTCCCACCACCCAGGTGGCTGCCCCAGGGCCATTGGTCTCCCAAGTGTGTGAGGAGTATCCCCCCCATGCCTGGAAATTGTTCATATACAGATGGGTCCAGCATGGGGGGGAGTCAAGAATTTGTACTGATTTTGAATTACAACCTGTTATTCATACTTTCTGGCATGAGACAGAAGAAAATTTGAACAGCCAGAAGATAGAATTATTCACTATGGCTTGTAGTACCTGTGAGCTGGTCACTGGATATTTGTACTAACTGGACAGTTCACCATGGCCTCACATGGTAGATGGCACTGTTGCCAGTGGACTATGGTCTTTACTGGGTAAACTTTTCTTGGAAGCCAACCCGTGGCAACAAATGTGACATTAAACTGGAAATATTGATTATTAAACACTCACCTTTGTCCCTGTAAATATGGAGCTGGATGTTTTGACTTTGATGCATGCTCTGGCCAGGACCCAGGCAGTGGACCTGATGAGGAGAGTACAGAGAAGGTAATTTAGAAAGTGCTAAAATGGGATGGAACAGGGCTAAAGGGACAGGATTATCCCTAAAATATAATGACTTGCTCCTGGAAACATCCCAGTGACAGGTGTGCTCCTGCCTCCTATCCTGTCCTTTGAGCCACATTCAGGAAAAAATACAGTGAACTGTCCAACTAGTTTGGGACTGGCAGATTGATCATATTGGCCTTTTGCTAAACAACAAAGAACACACATATGCCTTAATCTGTGTAGCCTTCCCTAGCAAGATAGCTATTCAAACCACCACTTTCAAAGGTCTTCAGAAGCTAATGTAATGGATGGGCATCCACACTGATT